TCCGGTCTTTTTGCCATGTGCTCTGTTGTGGCCAAGCCATGGGGCCTAGGGTTTGAGTCTCACTTGTCACCAAGCCCATGGCCTAAAATGACTAAAAAGCCCTGGGGCCATGGAAAATAATCTGCCCACCCAAAATGCCCTGGGATCAGCAGGGGCTGAAGGCTACCTACCTAATCCATACAAGAGAATGGCTGCCATTTCTCTCCTCTGGAGAAAATAAGGCAATGCATTTGACCAGAATGTGTGTGTTAAAATCAGCTGTCTGCCTTCAACATAGAGTGGGTTGTCTTTACAGACAGGGCTCTCCCTGGCAGAGATGGCAGAAGGGTTGTAGTTCACCAATAGTTGAGAATATGATTGCAAACAAAAGGCCCCAAGTTCAGTCTGTCACATTTTCATCTTGGGCTGGAAACTCTGTGGCAGGCATACGGAGTTTGTGTCTCATAAAACTGAACATATCCTACTGGGAGCAGGATAAACTTCCTGGGGTTTTTTGCTTGCATGGACCTGCAGAAGCAGTGTAGGTTGTCAGTCGCCTGGCAGGTAACTCTATGTGGCTGATGGACCACACTGGATGCTGTGGGGCACACACTCTGCAGCCTTATAATAAAGGAAACGACTCAAGCACAAGATCATTGCTGACATTTATTAAGACAAATCTAAAAAAGCAAAAGACACAAGAATATTGGCACATATCAGGGCCAATGCCCCAGAAGTCAACATCGCTCTTTAATCTTCTTTTAAAAATAATTTTAAGTATCGTTTTGACAAATCACTTTAGCATTTTATGTACAGTAATAAAAATAAATTACTCTTAACAGATGAATGTATCAGTTTAATACACCATACAGTGCAATAATAGCATTGGTTTTTTGTTTTTCCCCACTCATCTATAAAGTGCATTGCAGGGACTTGGTTTCACCAAATGGAATGATTGCTGTACATTTATATCTCTTTGGAGGGTAAACGTGTGGACATTCCATTCAACAAGTAGCACTTCTTGCGCCAAAGAATGGCTTCCCCACACTGTTTTGTCTTTTCACTGGCCCCTAGGGAAACAGTGAGACCATGCTGGTTGTTGGAGGGACCTGAGGCAAAAGTGAGTGGAGGAACAAATGCAAATTTTACCTTTCTACATTCTGCTTGTTTCTACACAGAGACTCAGACACCCCTCTCTATCCTGTCAAGACAAGCAAGAGGCATGATCAGAGTTCAATGATACAAATTACAAGAAAGGAGAGTCTAACTAAACATTCTGACTGTGTGAACTTATTTGACAGTGTTACAGCCTACCTTGGCAAGTGGTGGACTCTCCTTCATTGGAGGTTTTTAAATAAAGATTGGATGGCTACCTGCCAGGGATTATTTAGCTAAGATTCTTGGATTTCATGGGGTTGGATTAGATGACATTTGGTGTCCCTTCCAACTCTACAGTTCTATGTTTCTAGGACACATCCCAGCCAGAGAAAAACATTAAGGGTGTGCAGCAGGGCTAGTGAGAAGTGTAACCTAGGGAGAGATTTGAGGGCCAGGCCTGAAGTTCCCACCTATACCATAAGGGGTAATCTGTATACAACAACACCCACTTTCCACACCACACCTATTTCCAGTGTGCGTACACAACTAAGCTCTTCTACAACAGTCATTCAAGTCAAAGGTGTTTTTCTTTCTAAGACCTTCAGGTAGGTAAGATGCACAAGTTTCACAAAAGTTTTATTTTTATACAACTTAGAAAATGAAGAATGAACTGTGTAAAGCAACATTCCTGTAAGGAGATAAAGGTGTTGGGGTGGAGGGAGTGATGTGGTGGTTGGAAATAATTCGTGCATTTATGTTCAGGAGTTGCTAATCAAACTAGAATTAATAAATGTAGAGCAGATAAGTGTTATGTAACCTAGTTTTAAAAACCATCTAAAAATTGTGCATCTTTCTTTTGGGGGTGGGTAGCTACATTCACAAAGGGATGCCTTCTAAGGCAAACCACATCTGCTACATAGGTTTCCCTTAGCATTTTTTGTGTGGATTAGTAAGGAAACACCAGTGCACAGACTGAGCTGTACTGCATTTCTAGGTTGTAACCCAGCAAATCTCTTGGTTTGCACAAAGTAATTTTTGGGATAAGTTTTATGAACAAAACAAATAAACATGAAAAAGTAAAGTAAACAGAGATTCCCACAGTGATGCAATATCTTCTTGACTCAGCTGAGGTTGGGTTTTGTTTTTGCATGTGTCTGACCAATGCATACACCACAGGGATGCAATATTGCAGGTCTGCACAAAATTTGGGCACAAGAAAAACATCCTGGAAAGCAAAAAATATGCATATATGCAGCTGAAACCTAGTCTGTCAAAGGCATCAAAATTTTGACATAAGTATCATTGAGGAATTTGCTTGTGGATGCTACAAAAGGAATTATTCAAACATAAGAGACACATTTCTGCATTTTTGCACTTGTGTGCATGCATAAGGTGAAGATACAGCATAGCAGAAAATAGAAGAAAATAATGTTCTGTGTGGCTATATCTTGTCTACTACATCTAAGCCTCAAATTGCTGGCTGACCTAAACACACACACACAAACATACACAGAAGAGCAACACACTTAGGAACAATCCTGTTCCTATAGTCATCAATAGCAAAGTTCCTTTTAACTTTAATGGTGCAGGATTGCATCTGTCACAAGTAAGTCATGCAAGCCATTGGGTGAATTGCAGTCTCTATCACCACAGTTGTTTTCTGGCTTAATCTCACTGATGCTTCCATAGGGCTTTTAATTCTCTTTCCTAAATGACCCGACTGCATTCCCTTTCTTGGCCACGCTACATCCCCATTATAAAGGTCACTTTATGTCCCCCTGCCTGATTTCACATCACAAATGACATCATACATAGAGGAAAAGAGTTTAGCAAAGAGTGCCTATTCAGACATGTTACTTTAGTAGCTTCAGGTATGCAGAACAATAAGACTGGCGAAGCTGAAGGCCCCAGTCTCTCATCTCCTTCCCTCCTACTAAATAGGGTTGGTAGTTTTGCAGAGTAGTACCTCTCATCTTCCTTAAAACTTAAAGTTAACTAACTGGGCTTCCTAATCATATCAACCCTATTCTCCCACATCTGCTCTTTCCTTTCCATTTTAGGTCAGTGTGTGTAGCCCCAATTATCTCTGGGGTCACTTTTAAGTCCAAAGAAATAAAGAAAATTGCAGGAAATAAATGGTTACTCTATAATCTCACACAGTGATACACGAATTTAAGGTGCGTTCATTCCTGTGGACTCCCTTAGAGTACTGGCTCCACAGTAGGATAATGGAACAGCCATTCAACCTTCTCAGTCAACTCATGAGTTGTTGAGTTGTGCAATCTTTATGAGGGCTGGAGGGAAGGTGGGGAGCCAATGACGAGGAATGGCAGTTATTTTTATCTGACTCAACCCGGCCCATCTCTTTTGCCCGGGGCTAATAAATCCACACTACACGCTATCTTTTTTTTCAAAGCAGAAGCCTGTGTGCTTTTTAAATAAGTCTCTACGTGGGTAGCATTTTACTGTTTGATTGCGACTTCCGCGGAGCTGTCCAGTCCTGATGGTGCTGACACGTCTTTGGGATGAGAAGGAATCTGGCAGATTCCACTCATCCCACGACATCTCGGTTTATTTGTTTTTAAATGGCTATTGATATTGCATAGAGGATCAAAATTTGATTAGGATAAAAATGGAAACTCCAAACGGAGCAGCCCACGTTTTTCTCTGGAAATATTCCTGCAAACTATCTGTTTATAATTTTGGTTTTGCTTTGCTATCTTTATATTCGACATTAATAAAGGGAAGCAAACATTTAACTGTTTGCGTCTGGCTTCCTGCTCCCGCGCTTACATTCACACCCTGTTTCGAAAACGTGTGCTTCATTCAGAGAAGAGCCCTGAGCTGCCCTAGACCCCGGAGTCAAGGCAAAACCTCCTCTTACGCTCCAGTCTCCACGACTAACTAAAAGAAACTCAAAGGCAGAATTCACATGACCCATTTTTTAAAAAACTTGTACCCGCAGAATAAAATCAGGCAACTTTTTTTTTTAAAAAAAAAAAAAGCAGAAGATACCCCCGCCCGCTCCCCACAAACGCCTTTCCTGAGAATCCTGCTTTCAATCAAAGGAGAAGAAATTTTAGAGGCAAAAAAGTAAATCAAGAAAGCAGAACAAGATTTGTTATGTTTTGAAACATTATCTTGCAGTTTACACTTGGTGTTCCACATTGGCCACAGATTTTGGCAAATGTCCGAGTCTTTCGCCACGCCTCCCTCCCTAAACACAAAGAAATAATAAAATTAAAATATCGCCCGGTCGCTTGCGGGGAGAGGGAGGGGGGAGCATGTCAGGCACATCTTACTTGTGTATGGTTCATCAAAATAAAAACAGGCATAAGAAAATAACCATCTGGAGAGCCTTGGCACCGACACCCTGCTTTCTTTTCCTAAGAAGGTTGGGTAGGGGTCCCTCCCCTCCCCCGTTTTGTTTTCTCCCCTCCCCCCCCTGCTGCTGCAGCTGCTGGTGCTGGGGGATCATACAAAGGCGAGGAAGGGGGAAAGGAGGAAAAAGAGAGAGAAAGAAAGAAAGAAAGAAAGAAAGAGAAAGAGAGAGAGAGAGAGAGAGAGAGAGAGAGAGAGAGAATAAAGAGAGAGAGAAAGAGAAGAGAGAGAAAGAAAGAAAGAAAGAAAGAAAGAAAGAAAGAATAAAGAGAGAAAGGAAGAAAGGAAGAAAGGAAGAAAGGAAGAAAGGAAGAAAGAAAGAAAGAAAGAAAGAAAGAAAGAAAGAAAAGAAAGAAAGAAAGAAAGAAAGAAGAGGAGAGAGAGAGAGAGAGAGAGAGAGAGAGAGAGAGAGAGAGAGAGAGAGAGGAAGGAAGGAAGGAAGGAAGGAAGGAAGGAAGGAAGGAAGGAAGAAAGAAAGAAAGAGAGAGAGAGAAAGAGAGAAACTAAGATTCCAAAACCATAAAGGCAACCATAGACCCTTGTCATACGTCGCTGGATGTCCTGGGCCGAGAGGAGAAGCCGGAGGTGATGCACCCGCAGCAGGCCACCCAGAGGGATTTCTGGATGTCCGGATTTCTGAAGGCATAAATGATGGGGTTGATGAGCGAGTTGAACGCTGCCGGCAGGGCCAAAGAATAGGTGTAGACGGCTGGGTAGCTGGAGTCAGCCACCAGGGAATAGATGGCCAACGGGATCCAGCAGAGGGCGAAGGTGCCGAAGATGACCGAGAGCGTGGCGATCCCCTTGCGGGTGGAGGTGGCCTGAGAGGTGGCGATGAACTGGTGCTGGATGGCGATCTGCTGGGCGTGCCGGAAGGCGATCTTGCAGATCTGCAGGTAGAGGTGCACCATCAGCGCGAAAATGAGCAGGAAAGCGACGGCCAGCACAGTGGCGTTATTCTTGGTAACGGGCCGGAGGACACTGCAGGTGCTGCGCTCCCGCAGGCAGTTCCAGCCTAGCAGGGGCAGGAGTCCGACGCCCAGGCAGAACAGCCAGACAAGCAGCAGCATAGCGGCCGTGAAGGTCAGCGTGCGCTCGGAGTGATAAGTCAGCGCGTTGTAGAGCGACAGGTAGCGATCGACGGTGATAGCTAGTAGGCTGCACACCGAGGCGGAGAAGGCAGTAATCAGCAGGCCGGCAGCGCTCAGCAGGGCAGTCTCGCTTGGCGAGGACAGCAGGTACTGCACGCTGAAGTTGACGATGAGCCCCAGGCCGGCCAGCAGGTCTGCTAGGGCCAGGCTGCCGATGAGCAGGAATGTGGGTGCGCGCAGACCGGGAGTGTAGAAGAGCACCGCCAGCACCAAGGCATTCTCGCAAGCCATCGCGGTGCCCGTGGCGCACAGCACGATGTCCCACGGGTTGACCGCCACGGCCGCCGCGGCCACATTCCCGCTGTCTCCTGACGCCGGAGACAGATCCAAAGGGCTCCCCGCGGTGGCAGAGGCGACCGACGGCGGCCAGAGGCTGGCGAAGGGCCGGGAGGAGGCGTTGAGGAGCGTTAAGAGTTGCTCCTGCTGCTGCTGCTCCAGACTTTGCTGCTGCATCAGCAAGTGCTCTTCCATGGCTGCTGCTGCGGCTGCTGTAGGGTGACCGAGCATCACTGAAGAAGTGGAAGAAAAAGGCAACGGGAGACAGTTATAGGGGAGAAGGCAGGGGGCGGGGGCGGGGGGCGGGCGGTCCCTGGGAGAAGGTCAAGGAGGAGCTGACAGGGTTTGGGGTGCGTGTGTCAAGTATGGTGGGCACCGGCCCACCCCCAGGTCCGCACGTGGAAGGGAGGAGGGAAGGGCCATTAGCGGTGTTTGCATCCACAGAGCTCAGGTTTGGGTTTCACTAGTGTGCATTCAAACTCGAACGGAGAGGATGCTCCGCGACAGAGCACCTGCTTTGTCTGGAGGATGCCCCAGCTTCAATCCCTAGCATCTCCAGGTATAGCTGGGAGATAACCCCTGTCCGGAATCCCGGAGAGCCGCTTCCAGACAGTAAGGACGATACTGAGTTAGATGGACCAGTGGTCAGTACCTGACTCCATGTAACGGCAGCTCCGTATGCATGGGGAAGTAACTTTGCTCAGTGGAAGAGCATCTGCTTTGCATGCAGAAGTCCCAGGCTCAAACTCCCGCATCTCCAGACAGGGCTAGGAAAGGCCGGGAACCCTGGAGATCCACCACCAATGGAAAGCAGATGCCTTTGTTCCTATGACCCAATATATCCCAGTCCCATTTCTGGGGATGGGGAGGCGGGGTAGGGAATGTCAATTCCACCTGGATTTGACACCAAACCAGCCACCCCGTCCCATTGCCAACGAAAGGAACCATCAGCCTTTAACCCTGAGGCTGAGAAGGCATCTTATAATCAGCGTGGATGCTCCCTAGCTTCTCTGCCCCAGGAAACACACATCGGTTCCCGAGCCGCGAAGGTGGAGGCACGGAAGACGACGCTCTCCTCAGCCTGTATTAAAAGCTGTTACCCTAAAAACTCCGGAGCCAGACGCCAGAGGCACTCGCGGGAACACAACAGCAGCTTTGAAAAGGGCACCTTTGCAAAAGGAAAAACCAGTCCCTTCCCTGCAAGCAGTGACCAGTAATCTGGGCGTATGTCTGGGCGTGCAGACTTAGCTGAGTGTAACCTGCTTGGTTACTTCCTCTCCCAAAACCCCAGGTGAAGAGTCCTTCATAGGAGGACTGCTGATTTTCGGGGTAGTGAGTATTTTTAATTTACTGTAAATTATCTCCATTCCCTGCCGCTCATGCCCCTCACAAAAATGAGCAAAATCAGAGTGCCATGTTGTGCATCCAAAATGTTTCCTACCCCCCTCTACACACACACACACACACACACTGTTAGGATGCAGAGGCGCTTGCATCATCAGTTGTATGTTGGGTGCTGCGGCTACATGGTGGGGAGGGAATGAAAATGGGACACCGATGACTTACATAGCGTTATATAGCGGGGCTAGAATTTCTTGGCTTGGTCTTTCCCAGAGCTGCTGTTAATAATAATAATAATAATAATAATAATAATAATAATAATAATACCTTTTGACTCGAATGGGAAAGAATTATCGCTCTCTAATTAGCTATATATATAGGCAGATATAATTTGTAGTCTAGTCCTCTCCGGATATCTATTTGCATGATTCCAAAGCACCTTCTCACTCAAATTTCGTTCATAACACATCCAGCTACCGTTAGAACAGTAAGACTGCCGCACCGAAGCGAAGCCAGTTTAATTTGCAGTTCCCGCCCCGACCCCTCCTTTTTTGGGGAATGACACAAGCCGCCTGCGAACAACCGCAGAAGCTCAGCTGCCGCGAAAAAAACCCCAAAAAACCAAACGCGCGCGCGCACAAACACAATCACACAGTTACCCGCACGCAACCTTTCCAGTCTGTGAGACTCCAACGTATTCCCACCCATCACCCCTTCCTTCTACAACCACCGTGCACATTTCTCTCTTCTGTCAGGTTTTAGCGCTGTGAACAAAGAACCCGAGAGCCATTCAAAGGTCACCCTTTGGGCGTTTGGTCTGTGCTGCTGCAACCGCTGCTTTTGACTCTTGTGGCTGCTCCCATAATACAACTTAATAGAGCCCACCAAAGAACAATTTAGAAAACAGTAGCCAAGCCGTTGGGCTGGTTTCATTGTTCCATGGAACGCGAACACCCTCCGCCTCCCGCTTTCCAAGCCCACTGCGGGATGGAAGAATGTGTGGGTGGGGAAGGAATCAGGTAGACCCCAGGCAACATTCAGAAACAGGCATGCAATTCCCCACCTCCCCAGTTGTTGTTTGTACCTTGGTTTCCAATTCTTTGGTCAGTTGTCCTCCCTGCTAAATCCTTCTTAGTCCTCGGAATTAAGGCTTCCTTCTCTGGTTTACATGGCTAATAACGCTGGCAGGTCTCTGCCAACCGAGTTGCTCTTAATATTCCCCCCCCCCCTTTGGGTCTGCTGATATCTCTCTACTCTGACGTCAAAAGTCTTCTCTTATATTCACGATCGGCTCCAAGTCTGTGAATCAGAGGAGCCTGTGATCAGAATAACAACGAGGCGCTTTCTCACACTAGCTCAGCTCCTCCTCTCCTTTTCTCCAAGATACGCACCGGCGAGGAGATAAACACACTCTCGCGCGAGCGCGCATACACACTCGTCCTCTGGAATTTCATTCATAAGGCTGCCGAGACCCGCCTCCTTTTCCCAAGGTCAGGTGCTTCACATCTTCGCTTTGAGCGAAGAGAAGCCTGCAAGGTCTCTCCGGTATGAAATGCAGAACGGCACAATATGAACATGAAAAAGAATGCATTATTATCATTATTATTTTGACTGGAGGATGGATGCGAGCTGGTGATGACTTCTGGGGCTCAACTGCACCTGGATGGATGTTGTGTAATTAGATCGAGCTGCAGGGACCCGAGATACTGATGGGGATGAGAAGAGCAACCTAAGAGCGTTAAGCACTGCTTAAACAATAGCAACAGTCTTGTGGCAGTTTAAAGACTAGAACCTGTGTTATGGCACAAAGACCTCCAATGCATGAAGTGTTACACTGAGTTGCAAGTATATAAACAAATGCATGCTAGAGACATTATAAATATTAAGGTCAGAGGAAAATGTGATGTAGAAAAGTATAAATAATTAGGTAACTGAACAAATATTGTGGATTTTTAAAATCACGCTGCATGTGTTAATTGGCTGACCATGCCAGGATGTTTGTGTTACTGGCACAACTGCTTGTTGTGTATGACCACAGCTAACTATGCAAATATGTCTGTACTTGTTTGCATCTCATTTCACTTTGGCCTCACTCTTTGCATGCATGAGCACACATGTGCATGCGTGCGCACACACACACAGGAACATAGGAAACTGCCTTTTACCAAGTCAGACCACTGATCCACTATGTTTGTGGCAAGGAAAAGAATGGTACAAAAGAATAATTCCCTGGATGCCAAGAGCCAAGTTTGGGGCAAGTACTCTTTGGTGAGAAAACCCCAAATATGCAGCAAAGTAAAGCATGGAAATATAGGCTGTTATACCTTTGATATATGTCTTTCTGAGAGAGTTCCAAAATAGTCCCCTCTTCCTCCAGCATAGGAAAAGAAAGGTCACATGTTTAGTAAGATAAAAATGGTTTACTTACAAACTCTTCTCAGACCTCCTCAGACCTCTTCACATGTTAAACTTCTCAGGTAGACTGGGGGGGGGGTGAAGAAATATTTGATGACCTAGTCCCTCCCATGGTGAGCTAAGCCTGGCAGGACAGCTTACTTTATATTATGAACCCCATCATGGATTAGACTGAATTAAGCAGGTTGGTTATATGAGGCTGGTTATCACACCCACCTAGTTCAATATTGCCTACACTGACTGACAGTGGCTTTCTAGGATTTCAGGCAGGAGTCTCTCCCACCCATGAAGCTCAGTGAGGCAATTACCTTTGGCAGCAGGCTAGGGGCAGCTGGAAGGGGCAGCAGATTCAGGTCCCACAAGAGCATGCTGCTTGCCAGCAAATGTGGGAGTGGATGAGGAGGGCACCATTTTATGTTTTGCCTTGATTGGTAAAACATCCAGGGCTGGCCCTGATGCCAACCCTGCCTGGAGATGTCCATGAAGATTGGACCTGGGATGTTCTGTTTGCAAGGCAGATACTCCACAACTGAGCTACGACCTCACCCCACCCTCCACAAATTATGTACATATGTATCTGCAACTCAAGATAACACTATGCATCTGATGAAGTGGATTGTAGCCCACAAACATTTATGCCATCATAAACATGCTAGTCTTTAAAGTGCCACAAGACACTTTGTTGATTTTGCTAACATAGAATATTAGAATTATAGAGCTGGAGGAGATTCTGATGGTCATTTAGTCCAACCCCCTGCAATGCTGGAATCTTAACTAAAGCATCCATGACAATTGTCCACCCAACCTTTGCTTAAAAACTTCCAAGAAAGGAGAGTCCAGCACCTTCTGAGGGAGACTGTTCCACTGTCAAACAGCTCACACTGCCCAAAAGTTCTTCCTGATGTTTAGCTGGAATCTCCTTTCTTTCAACTTGAATCCATTGGTTCGGGTCCTACCCTTCAGAACAGGAGAAAGCAAGCTTGCTCCATCTTCCATGTGACAGCCCTTCAGATATTTGAGATGGCTAGGATTGTTATTCTTTTTTAAGTGGGTAACCCAAAGTTGGGCCACCCCAATAGAAAGTCCAAGATGCTTTCCAGGGCTGCAGTGTCCCAGGGCCTCAAGATAAGGATAATGCACATTCTTTCAAGTTAAGCCACTTGAGACCCCTGCTGAATCAAAGGTCTATCTAATTCAGCTCTCACAGTGGCCAACCAGATGCCTCTGGGAAGCCTACAAACAGGACATGAGCACAACACTTGTGATTCCCAACCCTGCCTCTGACACTGGAGGTGGTAGTACATAGCTATCATGGCTAGTAGCCATTGATAGCTTTATTCTGCTTCATCTCTGGAAGTATCACTTGCACATTGTGTGAGATAGATGGTAGATAGATAGATAGATGATAGATGATAGATGATAGATAATAGATAGATTAGATAGATAGATAGATAGATAGATAGATAGTAGATTAGATAGATGATGATAGATGATGATAGATGATGATAGATGATGATAGATGATGATAGATGATGATGATAGATAGATAGATAGATAGATAGATAGATAGATAGATAGATAGATAGATAGATAGATATAGATAGATAGATGATAGATAGATAGATAGATGATAGATAGATGATAGATAGATAGATGATAGAGATAGAGATAGATATAGATAGATGATAGATGATGATGATGATTGATAGATGATAGATAGATAGATAGATAGATAAATAGATAGATAGATAGATAGATAGATGATAGATAGATAGATAGATGATAGATAGATATATAGATGATAAATAGATGATAGATAGATATCTGCATTTAAATAACAAAGCATGTATGAAAATGATGCCTTTGAGGAAGCATTATGGATGTTTTTAATTACAACAAATACGTAGGGCTGCAACTCTAGTGGGTTTTATTTCCTTACTTGAAAATGAATTGGAACATGAATAATGTTTTGAAAATGGATGTACCATCCTATGCAAGTGGATT